AAAAAAAAAATCCTGAGGTCAACAGAGCTAGGTAATTTAGGACCAAAGCAGGTTTACTGCCAGGGCACTGGGGAGCCATAGAAGGATTTTCAGCAGGGAGAGGCTGTGGGAGAGGTGAGAACAGGACTTACGTTTTGGAAAGCTCTCTCTAGGTGTGCCCAGAGGTAGAGGTGGAGGCTGGGATTACGGGCTGAGGGCCCACAGGGAGCGGTGCGGGGCCCCGGGTAAGAGAAGAGGAGCCTGAGCAGGGGTCTGGGGATGGGGAGGCAGGAGATACGGGTGGGGAACTGATTTCAGCTCATCCATACAGCTTGCCCCACGGGAGGGTTACCCTTCTTTTTCCTGTTTCACATAAACGGACTCCATACTTGGAGCCTATCTCCTGCTTTGTTATCCCACTCTTGGTACCATTTCAGCCCGAGCTTGGGGGTTCAGAGAGGTGAATGTCCCAAGGCCCCGAAGCTAGGAAGTGGCAGGGCCAGGATTTGAATCCAGCTACAAAGGGGCTGTTAGAGGAGAGAGAGCTCTCTTCCCCTGGTCCACACCACCACTGGATTGAGAGCTGTGTGGATCTGCCTCCATCTGATGCCCCTCCGGCCAGCGCCAGGCTCATTGCCTGAACTGAAACAACACGCTGAGTCCTTGGCTTGCCAAACAGGTGGGCTTTGAATGGGGTCTCACCTCAGGGCCTTTGCACTCGCGGTTCCCTCTTTCCAGAACACTCCAGAGAGCCACACGACCACCTCGCTGGCTTGGCTCAGCGATTTGTTTCACTATCACGGGCCCTGACTACTGCCTCTAAGATAGCAGCCCACCATTTCACTGCCTAACCTTGATGTTCTTCGTATCACTTCCTCTCTTGCTTTATAACTGTGGCGTTTGATGTGTTTGCTCATCGGCCATCTCCCCTACTAGCCAGTAAGCTCCGAGAGGCAGGGATTTTGCCTGCGTGGCCACAGCTTTGCTTACCATCTAGAAGAGGGCTTGGCAAACAGCAGGTCCTCAAGAAGTAGTTGCTGAGTGAGTGAGTGAGTGAGTGAGTGAGTGAGTGAGTGAGTGAGTGAGAGAAAAGCCTGGGAAAGTAATCCAGGCTCACAAATTGGGTGGGGGGGAGAATCGGAGGGGAAGGGCAGTGAGGACAGGAAAGAGGAGTTGGGTCAGAGGCCCTGGTGAAAGTGCGCCTCCTCCCAGACACCTCCTGCTTCCTTCCCTGGCAGCTGGAGCTCATCGGACACAGCATCTTTGATTTCATCCACCCCTGTGACCAACAGGAGCTCCAGGACGCCCTGACCCCCCGGCCGAGTGAGTTCCCTGGAGGCCTCTGTCCCCTGGTTATAGAAGCTGAGGCTTTCCCCCTGCATATCCCGTTTCTCCAGACTCCGAAAAATGGGAAGAGGGGACCCGGCCCGGCCCTGGGGTGTCGGCAAGGAGCACTCCCTAGCCCTGGGGCCCTCCCTGGTTCCAGGTCTCAACTGTGGGAATGAGGCCGGGGAGACTTTAGTCAAGTCTGTCCAGAGCCGCCCAGCAACCTGCTCACCCCCTTCCCCGTGGCCCTTCCCCAGGTCTGTCCAAAAAGAAGCCAGAGGCCCCCACCGAGCGGTGTTTCTCTTTGCGCATGAAGAGTACCCTCACCAGCCGCGGGCGCACCCTCAACCTCAAGGCGGCCACCTGGAAGGTGGGCAGGGCCTGGCCTGGAGGAGGGTGAGGGGCCTGGGGGCCTGCTGGGGCTGGGCCTGAGCCCGAAAATTCTCCCAGCATGTTGCAAGTGCGGGGATCCTGTGGGGCACCCTCAGGCTGAATCTAGAAGGCTGGGTGTCCGTGGAGCCGGAAGGCTGGGAGTCCTTGTGTCCTTTCTGAGCCTGTGGGCCTGGGGCTGGGGGTCCTCAGCCTTCGGTGCCTGGAGTCTCCACGGGGCTGGAATCTGGGGTCTTCAGAGCTCCCTGAGTCTCAGAATCTGGATCAGAACCTCCTTAGGTCAGGGGTTTGTTCTCGGCTCCCGGTGGGGCACCTAGAGACATATCTCCTAGGCCCATGGGAACCCCAGGCCCATGTGCATCACCACCTTTGCCTGCCCCCCTCCCCCCATCCCAACTAGGTGCTGTACTGCTCTGGACACATGAGGGCCTACAAGCCCCCTGTGCAGACCTCCCCCGAAGGGAGCCCCAACTTGGAGCCGCCCCTGCAATGCCTGGTGCTCATCTGTG